GCAGATCGAATCCTTCATTATCGTGAGCTCATTTCGGTTAACCACAACATCGCATCCGTCGTCAGTCAGTTTCCCGACAGAGATCAGATTTTTGCGCATTTTCCGGACATAGAGGGCATCTTTCAATTCGAGATTCACGTTCTTTCCGTTGACTCTGATAGTCAGGTTGGCGTTACCCTGTCCGGTAACCAGCAGACAGTGATTACTACCAACGCGGACTTCCCGGGTTTCAGACTCTCCGAATGAAGTGAACCATTTCTTGGAATTCAAAATGTGATGTGTCGCACCACTGTCCACAAGAAACATGTTATATATAGATTTATTGCGCTTCTTAATGAGCATGGCACAAGAAACATGTTGGGGTTTGCATTGAGCATCGACCTTGTGACCACCAGTGCTTCAGCCACATTGGCCCTCGGCCTGTTGCTCGTGTTTCCCTCTTGGTTCCTTCTTGGACGGCGACAATTTCTCTGACAGTGCCCCATCAAGCCACAGTTGTAGCATTTGATGGTCGTCCTGGATCTGGTCTCTTGTCTCTGACTAATTTGCTGCGCAGAGTTGGTTCGGATCGATTGTTGCCTCTGAGGGCGTCTAGGAAATCTTCCACGTCTGGATCTCATATTGCCGATTGTGGTTTGTGATAGAAGTGCTGTAGCTTGATCGACTTCGCGATTGATTGACCTTCGTGAGGATTCTGCTCTCAGAATCTCCATGAGGTTTCCAATGGTTTTGTCCTGTGGCGCTCTTGCAGCCCAGGCATATCTCAGGGACTCCCATTCCTGAGGAAGAGCGGCAAGCAGTCGAGAACAGGCTAGATCATTGTTTATGATGAATCCTGTCTCAGTCAGATGATCTGACAAATTCCTGAAGACGGAGAGATTCTCATCTACTGTCTTGTTCTCAGCAAACCTGAATGCCATGTAACGAGAGATTGCAACATCCTTTACAATTCCAGTTCGTTTAGAAAATCTAGCTTTGGTTCGAGTCCAGATTTCATGAGCAGTGATTGTTTCGGTCTTATTGTACATAGA